GGGGTTTCACCATGTTGACCAGGATGGTCTCGATCTCTTGACCTTGTGATCCACCCGCCTCGGCCTCCCAAAGTGCTGGGATTACAGGCTTGAGCCACCGCGCCCGGCAAGAGTCACCCCTTCTAAGGGGAGAAGAGTAGCTGCTGCTATATCCTTCATATATGACTGGTCTCCCTGATAAGACATTTCTAAAGATCTAACCAGGGTCCCATTGACAGAAAATCTATCCTTTCTCATTATTGTTGAAGGTAAAGAAAGAAATACAACCAACGAATCATCCTATTTCATTATCAACTCTGTTTCATTAACAACACTTTTTTCACTTTGTTTCTGCCCTCTTTACAAATCTGAAAGACTATCAAGTGTGAGAGTCAGTAAGCTTGACCTACTGTCAACTTGCAGCTGTCTTGCTGGTGCCTAGGGATTAGATTACCCTCCACACCAAAGAGGCCTAACAGCTGTAGTCCTCCAAATTAGAGGCAGAGAAAGGTATACTTTCTAAACACATGCAGGAGTCTCCAGAGGATGGTATAGGGGATAAGTCTGCAAGCAATCAACTCCTCTATCTTCTAAGAGGGCTAAGAAAGCTGCTGGTGGGGGAGGGAACAGAGAGAAGAGTTGAGACTTGGAGATTCTAATCATCTAAATCTGAATATATTTCATCATTATGACTCTGAGTGGAAAGGAGCTATAAAATTCAAAGGGGAGTTAGCATGGGCAGAGCATGCAAAAATCTCTCTCCCAAAGGTAAGCACTGATTGACAGTTGTACTTTGCTTGTTCAAATTAATCTTTCCCTTTTCCAAAGCTGATCCTAGTGACTTAACAGACATCATACTCTATGGCATGTGGGGAAACATTATTATTTTGTCACAATTAGTGGGTCTGGAGTTAAACTGGGGTTAAAAAATTTCAGTAATCCCACTTACTAGATAGTAAAGACAGAAAATCATACAGGAGGCAATGCAGAGGAACAAAGGTTTTGGAGTCCAATTCTCTGGGTTTGTTTTCCAGTTTTACTTACTAGCTATGAACCTTGGGTAAGTCACTAAATGTATATGTGCATTCATTTCCTCATCTGTAAAATGAGGTAACAGCCTTATAAGCACCTACTTCATAAAGGTGTTGTAAAGATTACATGAGATCATGCATATAAATAACAAGTATTTGATATATACTAAGTACTAAATAAATATTAAACTACTAATCATATGACATAAAGAAAATTTCTCTACTTAAGCTTTACCTTCTATCTTTGTAAAATGGAAAAAATACCATCCTCATAACTACAAAAATTAAGTGAAAGATGTGTTTAGCATAGCTCCAATAATAATAGCTATTAAAATATATCTCAATAGTAGTTGTTATCAGCATATTCCTAAAAAGCAGCCACAGGCCAGGCATGGTGACTCACACCTGTAATGCCAGCACTTTGGGAGGCTGAGGCAGGTGGATCACCAAGACCAACCTGGCCAACGTGGTGAAACCCCATCTCTACTAAAAATACAAAAAAATTACTTGTACGTGGTGGTGCATGCCTGTAATCCCATCTACTCCAAAGGCTAAAGCAGGAGGAACCTTAAACCCAGGAGGCAGAAGGTTCAGTGAGCTGAGATCGAGCCACTGAATTCCAGCCTGGGCAACAGAGCGAGGCTCTGTCTCAAAAAAAGAAAAACAAAACAAAACAAAACACCGGGCATGGTGGCTCATGACTGTAATCCCAGCACTTTGGGAGGCTGAGGCAAGTGGATCAAGAGGTCAGGAGTCAGAGACTAGCCTGACCAACATGGTGAAACCCCGTCTCTACTAAAAACACAAAAATTAGCTGGGTGTGGTGGCACATGCCTGTAGTCCCAGCTACCTGGGAGGCTGAGGCAAGAGACTCATTTGATCCCAGAAGACGGAGGTTGCAGTGAGCCGAGATCATGCCACTGCACTCCAGCCTTGTGACAGAGCAAGACTTCATCTCAAAAAAAAGGAAAAAAAAAAAATTAGCCAGGTGTGGTGGCAGGCGCCTGTAATCCCAGCCACTAGGGAGGCTGAGGCAGGAGAACTGCTTGAACCCGGGAGGTGGAGGCTGCTGTGAGCCGAGATCCTGTCATTGCACTCCAACCTGGGTAACAGAGCAAGACTCTTCCTGGGGGTGGGGGCAGCAGCTACAAAATGAAAGTGGTACAGAGAAAGAAAAAGAAAAAAACAGGCCTGGCACAGCAGCTCATGCCTCTAATCCCAGGGGTTGGGAGATAAAAGTGGAAGGATTGCTTGAGGTGAGGAGTTTGAGACCAGCCTGGGCAACACAGCAAGACTAAGTCTCTACAAAATATATATATATATTTTGAGCTGCAGTATCGCTCTGTCATCAGGCTGGGGTACGGTGGCACAATTTCGGCTTACTGCAACCTCTGCCTCCCATGTTCAAGCGATTCTCCTGCCTCAGCCTCCCAAGTAGCTGGGATTATAGGCGTCCACCATCACGCCTGTCTGTTTTTTATTTAGCAGAGACGGGATTTCACCATGTTGGCCAGGATGGTCTCAGTCTCCTGACCTCGTGATCCACCTGCCTCGGCCTCCCAAAGTGCTGAGATTACAGGTGTGAGCCACTGTGCCCAGCCTACAAAACACTTTTAAAAATTAGCTGGGCATGGTGGTACATGCCTGTAATCCCAGCTACTCCAGAGGGATGGAAATAAATTCAGTTTCTAACAGTCTATAGCTATGGTTACTACTCAAGCACTTCTGGATGAAATTCAGATGAGGACTGAATGATGGGCCTTCCAGGGGTCAGATAATTCTCCAACCCTGCCACTAAAGTTGTAGCACAATCATGAAAGTGGGGAGAGCCAACTTAGAGGCAGTCCTGTAGAGCTGGTAAAGTTTTTAGAATCAGGGAAGTCTGAGTTCTGTTCTCTGCTTTGCCACAATCCACTGTGATCTTAGGCTACTCATTCCTTTTGTTTTTCTGATCCTCAGTTTCCTTATCTATTAGGATCTTTGGGGCAGAATGGAATTGGGGAAAGTGGCAAAGAGCAGAATTTGAATTCACTTCCAAAGTTCTGCGTACATTTAAGAAACTTACTGCTAAGGCATCTGTGAGAATAAATTACTTTTTTTTTTCCTGTCACTCTTAGGATATGCTTAAGTTACTGAGGATGAAATACTTCTAAAACATCTTATATTTATGTGGTATTCATACACACTGTCTCAAAGGGAAAAGAGGACAGACTAGCAGAATGCTAAACTTTAAAAGAGTTTAGTCTTGGTGGCTCATACCTGTAATACTGGCACTTTGAAAGGCTGAGGTGGGAGGACTGCTTGAGGTCAGAAGTTCAAGACAAGTGTGAGGAACATAGTGAGACCTTATCTCTAAAAAAAAAAAAACAAAAATTAGCCAGGCATAGTGGTGCATGCTTGTCATCCTGGCTACTCAGGAGGCTGAAATGGGAGAATCACTTGAGCCCAGGAGGTTGAGGCTGCAGTGTGCTGTGATCATGCCACTGCATTCCAGCATGGACCACCAAGTGAGACTCTGTCTCAAAATAATAAATAAATAGGCCAGGCATGGTGGCTTTCGCCTGTAATCCCAGCACTTTGGGATGGTCAAGGCAGGTGGATCACCTGTTTGAGACCAGCCTGGACAACATATAGGGAAACCCTGTCTCTACTAAAAAATACAAAAATTAGCTGGGCGTGGTGGTGCACACCTGTAGTCCCAACTACTTGGGAAACTGAGGCAGGAGAATTGCTTAAAGCCAGGAGACAGAGGTTGCAGTATGCTGAAATCGTGCCACTGTATTCCAGCCTGGGCAACAGAGCAAGACTCGGTCTCTCAAAAATAAATAAATAAAAGACAAGACAAATGACACAATTTTATGTATATGCTATACTCTCAAGAAACAATAGAACAAGTTACTAGTTTTTTCAACTTACTCCCCCACATTTTTATGTATTTCAAAGCATGTGCTTCAAAGGGTAGAATATTAAGCCTCAATGTTACTACTCTACAATATGGGAAAATGTGGGAGTTACAACAGACTGAATTCTCACGGCTAAACGTATCACTTGAGCTCTAGGGTAGCGTAAAGACAGGAAACAGTTGCAGACACAGTTCAGTTACAAAGTCCCTGTCACTAACTCCCAGAGATGGGAAGTCAAGCCAGGTCCCAGACGTGGTCAGCAAGCTTTCTTGCTAATAAGCAACCTTGGATTCTCAGAGATCAATAACTACTGACTTAGAAAACACGACCTCAAACCCTAATATGTAACCTCAAGAATATGTTCTCACTGGGCATGGAGTTCACGCTTGTAATCCCAGCACTTTGGGAGGCTAAGGCGGGAGGATCATTTGAGCCAGGAGTTTGAGACCAGCCAGGGCAACATAACGCGACCCCACCTCTAAAAAAGAAATAGTATGTCCTGCCTTCTTCCCTGTTCACAGCAATTGATGGGCCACCTCTATGTTTTGATCTTTTTTTTTTT